TGTATTTTATGTTATGTTATTGCATTTTTTTTTGTTTTCCATAGATTGACTACGTCATTTGTAGAGTAACTGAAAATAATTGACTATAACCTTAAATAAAAAATGTCCTCTACTCTTATTCATTTCTCCCTAAAACTGGATAGACAGATCTAATCTCAGCATTGTTGGCTAAAGCACAAAGGAAAATCTACTTTAACCTTACTTTCACTATATGCCCCACAAACATTTCTTATATAATCTCTGAATAGGATTTACTGCCATCAAAAATCTAGGCTTGTGTTAGCATCATAAATTCTAGGTCTATGTCAGTTAGACTTTACTTAGGTCATACTTAAAAGCTAGACATTTTCGTACGCCTGACTGATTCTAACAAAAACAACTTTACGTACCTATTTGGACAATCACAATATATCTCTTTTATTGTTTTTCTTTTGAAGTATTTTTTCCCAGTAGAATATTAAAATTCAGAACAAAAGCGAAGGACTGACACAATAACAAGATTGTTACGGCTTACTTTTTGATTCCGGACCGAGTCAGACTTTTAGTGTTTCGGTAAAATATTAGGATGACTACAGCACTTACATATAACAAAAGGATATGCCTATTGTCTCCGAAAGGTAAGAGCAAAATGTAACCACTTTCATGATTTATTCCTTGTTTGTATCATATTGGTGCCTGCTTATCCTGCATTCATACAAATCTAGGTTACTATTAAAAAAAATAATGATATTAATATTATACAGATTCCACGGTTAGTAAAGAAAAATATATAACTATTTCTGTGATCCACAAATTATTTTTTCGCGTCTGGGTGTCATGTGTATGTGATTATGTATGTTTGTACGCACTTAAGGCACAGGAGAAAATCCCATCATGACGCAACGTTTTAAAAAACACCTTTTTATAGGATGGTTATTTTCATAGATTTTTTTTAAGCGGGGAAAATCGTCGGATGGCTTCTCCCGACTGGGTGCGGCGGGAGGGAGTGTCAGATTCTTACTGACTAAAAACCACTCCGTTCCTACTCCTGCACTTCGAGCCGGAGCCCCGGTAACCCGTTAAGTTCCCCGCGGCTATTTTCATAGATTGGATTTTAACCTTTTAACGTCAGTATGAAGAACAAATTGTAATAACAAATTGGGAACATATTGTAGTGAAAGAACTTTAGAGTACCTTTTTTAAAGAATGGTCATCTTCATTTCGAATATCGGACATGCAGACCATGCCCAATTAATTAAAAGGTCACTAATAACTCTAATATAGAGGCCTATACCAACCTGTGACTAGAGTACATCTCCTAAGGTACAAATACTGCAGAGAAGGGCAGGTGTGCAGTAACGCGCAGAGTCCAGCGTCCGTCACTGACCCACAGTCCGTGAGGTCTATATACTCCACGGGAGGTCTTCGGGTCGCCAGCCGCGTCTCCAACCACGCCCAGTCTGGCCAGTCCACGTTTGGACAACCTGGGAAATAGAGAAAATGACTAATTTATTGTTAAAGCTTTGGATTATGATTTTTTGCTGACTAGTTGACGCATGGCGCCTCTGTCGATTATTGTCCAGTTAGTCCTTATGTGATCAATTCCAAAACTATGCTTTAGTCTTCACAGATGCTTGATAAGTTTATATTAGTTACTTCTTCATAATCATATGAAATTGATAAATCAACAAATAACTATTAGACTTTTAAACAAAGTTAAATTTTATTGTTTTTAGATCATAGTTCATTATTACTTATTCTAATTTTTAACGTAAGTATCTATGACGACGAAACAGATTGAAATGAGATAAGAATATAACACTAATCAATAAACAAATGAATTACTTTAGTAAATATAATTATGTGTTTAAAAATAAAATTAATTTGAAATTAAAGTTCTTAGCCACACAAAAATTATTTTGATTTGTAATGGCCAGTACTGCTGAACGGCAATTTCTCAGGTAAAGACCTAAATAGTAAACAAAATGAATCTACAACTAAATAGAATTAGTTCGCAAACATAGTACAAAATCCAATAACTACACACAGCGAAACTTCAAAGGAACAAGTTTGGAAACTTTATTATAAAACCAATATTCCTAACTTTGAAGATTGAAACTTTGGTTTAGCTGTAGGCTTCAGTTAGTTTCTATGATAAATTATTATTAAGAAAGCGTAATAAATATTGATTTTGTACACCTGTAGAGTGAGACTTAATTTCCCTGTAGATTTGAGGCAAGTAGTGTAAGGCTAAGGAGTCACAGCGTGATTTTCTGGCGTTCCCGCCGCGGTTGTATTGTCGTTACACAAATTATATTTGTTTTTACATCATGCTTTAGGCTTTTACTTTCTTCAAGCATGCTTGCTGCATGCTTTAGGCTTTTTCTTTTTTTTTTCACTTCCAGGTAACCAGCTGTAGAAATGTTGTTTTATATTAAGATATTATATAATATATTGTCCTTGGATATGATGATGAACAGTAAAACTATAACCAAAGTTTAGTTGCTCTGAAAAGAGAAACAACATTTAGAGCTATTGTTTCACCAGTTCATATCAATTATTATAATTACATTAAAAATCTTACTTGTACATAATAATTAACCATTTTACTTTTTATATTTTTCACTGTCATTCAATATGACAGCTTACTCCATAGATTCTATTTCACAAGCTATTTCACAAATCAAAAAGTTATTACGCGGCAAATCCAAACTATACAAACTAAATGAAGTGTCACGCACTTTGTTTACATGTATATAACAAATCAAAGGAATTTTCACGGTGCGTTTTACGCCCGCAGTGGTTGCGATTGCTTACGGCTGCCGCTGCACCGGCAGGCGCGGCCGCGCTCTGCGATCGGTTCGCGGGCGATCGCAAACAGCCGGTCTGGAACTCAACTGATTGTTTAACCGCCCGGCCGTCTTGCTATAATCAACCGCTATGTTTGCGGGTGATAATCGCAACCGAGGCGGCGGCGGGACGGCAAAAAAGTGCGGTCTCGTTTCGAGTTTTTTGAAAATTCCGCCTCAATTCCGCCACCGCGGTGGGCGCGGGAGAAGATCGCGCAGTGAGTACTTAGCCTAAGACTATTCTCATTATTGGAAGCGACTGAGACTTATGGCTGTCTCGTACGCTGTTAGATAGTTCCTTTTGTGTAAAATTATATTGGTCGGATGAATGATTGTTGGAAAGCTTGTATCTAGGTCTGATTTATTTTAGCAAAACTATATTTATGTTAGTACGAATTCTCTATAAGACGTATTGTGTTTCCCTTGACAGTTTGACCAGATCATGGTTATGATCATTGAGGCGACAGTCCACTACTGAACTATTAGCAGTCTGTGTTTTTATAATAACTATCGTGAGACATACTAAATTAACTAACAATAGCGGGTTACTCACGTGAATGTACTGAGAAAAGCTCTACTTGCCCACCAGTACTACTACCAGCAGTAGGCTGGTGACATCGCCGCGACCGCGTACGCTGCTCATGAGGAAGAACCTCTCTGTGGTGTTCGAAACTAGTAGAGCTTTTCTCAGTATATTCACTTGAGTAACCCGCGATTTTTAGTTAATATTAGCAAGTCTACATAAATTCTAGGTCAACATTTCAATATATTAGTATTTCATGCTAAGAACTTGACTACTTGTGATATATTATTTAGCCTTAGCTCTTAACCATTTAATAAAAAAGTTTAATTGGTCGTGTGCCTACATCTTGTCATTTTTTTTTCGACGATCAATTTCAGCTTTTTGCTTACAGCTGGCCCTATGACATTGAACCCTTTCTAGACATTGACACGATTATACATTCATTGTTTAGACAACTCAGACCTGACTTCAGGGAAATTCCTTCCTCGGCCTTTTGGAGCTATCGCAAATTAACAAGGCTTACATTATTTAGGAAGCATTTACTTTAATTCTGTTGTTTTTATTGTAATACTGTTTGTTGTCTGTAGTTAAAGTTAACCAGCTCTAACTCCTCATTTATTTTCGGGGCTTTTGTGGAAGAGATTATGTCGAATAAAAAAATGTGTATCTATTTAGATATATTTAACTGTTATATAACATCTGTTTATGTTTGAAGCGGTTGGTAAATATTGTTATCTTTCTCTGGAACCGAAGATGATTTGCAGACACGTTCTTAATCACCAAAACAACGCAGTCATTGGTTTTTTTTTCAACTACACTAACTTTTTATAGAAACTAGTTGTTCGCCAAACAAGTAATTAATATAGGTAATTGATGTTTTTGTTAATCACCTGTGAGGTCTATATGCCTCAAATCCGTGAGGTCTGTGATGAGGGGCGCCATGGCTCTGGCGTCCATGCTACTGGATCCCGTCACAGCCAAGTGTGTCAGGTTTCTGAACGTGGCCGCCAGCAGCTGGGCACTCGCTATTGTTACCTGAAGAATATAAATTAGTTAGAATAAAATAAAGATGATGATTTGACGGAGGAGGTAGAGGCAATTTTATATTCAACTAGCTACTTCCGCGCGGTTTCACTCGCTCTTCTCGGCGCCTATTAACCGTAGTGTGAAATTTTATAGCCTATAGCCTTCCTCGATAAATGGGCTATCTAACATAGAATTTTTCAAATCGCAACAGTAGTTTCGGAGATTAGCGCGTTCAAACAAACAAACAAAAAAACAAACTCTTCAGCTTTATAATATTAGTATGTATACATTTGTATGTCACATCAAATCGAATCGAAGAAAACATTGAAATGAGGCACAAGATAATATATTTAAAAAAAAAACTTCTCAAAACTTACCGCGCAGTTTTTTGACCGCCATTCCTTGACAGAATTGACGCAAGGACCTGCCCGCGCTCCAGCACATCTGGCTGCGATCTCTAAGGGACCTGCTGCTCTGACCTTCTTCCAAGCTTCGGGTCTCGTGATCAGACGTGTGGTGAGCCTCGCCCATCGTCGACATACTCGAGACATTCGGCAGAGGTCTGATACCTGTGAACAGTATTCTTGTGAATATAGTTCGGTACGAAGCTCTCAAAAACTCTCTCACTATTGCTAACCGTTGAAAAGATACCTGTAGTATTTATTTACAAACTATTTTCGCGAAGTTTATTCGCTGCTCGGCTCCTATAGCCTTCCTCGATAAATCCACTACACAATAGAAAAAAAATTGAAATCGGTCCAGTCGTTTTCGAGATTAGCGCGTTGAAAAACTCTTCAGATTTATAATTATAATAAGTATATAATTTAATTAAATTTACAGCGTTACAGCGGTGTCGCCAAAGGAGCCGGTTGTTTGAAAAAATATGTGTGGTGGATCGCCTGAGAAATTTTAAATAAGATATAGGCCATATCTTATTTAAAATTTCTTAGGCATTGAGCCCTATATTTGGTACACAAACTTATTCTCTATTACAATGGGGATATGATCGGAACTGGCGAAACTAAACATCGACCCTCTCCTTTCGAGAAATTGAATAGATATTTACCCGACTGTAAGAAAGGTATTATTGGATGATGTTTAATGTTTTTCTGTGTGTGGAAATCAACCTTTTTTAGAATGATAAACAAACTGATGAGACATATCTATTTCCAGTTTTAGACCAAGGACGTTGAAAACAGTCGGACGTAATCTCTTGAAGCAACGACTGTGGCACCTGGCTACTATAGATTTACACGCAGAATACACACACATCGACACGAAGGACATCTGTCGCTTGACATGGCCCGTCATTACACTTCATACATCACGGTGTTGCAAGTACACGCACACATACATACACCACTCACATTTTGGTGCTTCAATCATTTCAAGTGACATTACATCCCCCTTATTTAACGTGTAGCGACACTAATGTGTTGACATTTTTTATGTGTTCTCAAGTGCGTAGCTGCGTCTGCGACCCTATAGCGTTAGCACGCCAGTCGTCTCCCAGCTTTGGTGTTAATCAGTAATATTTTGTAATATTATAGATTAGTTGTGAATTGTTTATTTCTTAGAACAATATAATCACAAAGCTATACCTATTTTATTTTGGACTTTCATTGAACACGCGAACTATTCTGGAGTCAAGTGAATTTAAATAAAAATACACATCACATTCTAAATTGGTGACCCCGCGAAAACATTTCCGTGTAAATTTCGTGAAAAATCAAATAAACTACAACATGTCGATTCCTGACCTTGCGGCGATTACCGTAGCTTCGCGAATTTCGGAGTTCTGGACGCATCAGCCGAGAATGTGGTTTATACGAACTGAAGCAAACTATTTTAAAATATTTACTTTCGACTAACTAAGGTTTCAAAAAAAATTCTTATTTACAAACCTCAAGGTAAGATAAAATCTTCAACCACAAGGCATCATTAAGAGTATTATCCCTTCTTCTTCTCGGTGGGCCGCAGTCGGCGAGGGTGTGGTAGCCCTGGTCGAGACTGAGCTCGCTAAGGTCGGCAGCTAGAGACAGGGCTGGCTCTGGCGGTGGAGGGGGCCTACGTCGGGCACCCCCGCACACGCCGGGCCCCGAACAACTACCGCTTGACATGACGAGACCCTGGAAATAATAAATTAAGAATTAGTAGACGTCATTAATACAGCGTTCATAATCGTTTTTTGTCAGGACATAGTGTTATAATCTCGGTTTTCTTTAATTAAGGAAGCCAAATCAAACTAATAACAAAAATTTGTTTGTACCTAATACCTCAAAACAAACAAGTGTATCAGAAACAAGTAGGATACAAGATAGATAGTTCTTAGATCTTGAAGGGTTAATTGGCATTTCAGATGTCTTGAAAAGCGACAACCTGTCGACAACGTGTAATATTTTATTAAATAATCATTTTATAAACTATGTTTAAAAAAGCAGACTCCAAACCCATCTTTTTTTAAAGTCGGTTAATTAATATACATCAACAACAGTTCAGCTAATCGTGAGATCATCGCACACAAACATACATACATAGAGGTTAAACTATGAATGAATATCTTTCCTTTTTGAAGTCGGTTAAAAATATGTGGTAACACTGATGCACTGATAGAAGCAAGTAATCAAACACACAGTCTACAATGTACATAATTATGTATTCGAGTTTTTCATCGACCACCGTATTCAGCAATATCGGCGTGACTCGCCGTTCTAAGTGAATATAAATGTATTACAATATATTCAGTGCACTTTTGTCTAACGCGACAACATTTTATCCTAGATTAGTTAACATTAAGAACATTTGAGGGAAATAATAAACAGCGATCCACATAAACATTGATTTCCCTTTCTAAACATCAAACTAACTACGTAATCCTACAGTATGTAAAAACAAAATACTGGTAATTCGAAGGCGAGAAATTGATCAAAATACATAATTGCTATCCGGAATTAAAGCAACCATTCAAACATCGGTAGTGACAGAAATAATTATGTCAACTGAGAAATTATGGCTTAATTACGATTGCAAACATTAGATAAACGGTTTCCATAATAAATAGGGTAAATTGCAACAATTTGTTATACATTAAATCGTTCCCATTGACAAGTATCTCTAAATGGAAATTATAAAATGGCGGCAGGACCACGAATTTGCTTTAAATGTACAAATGGACAAATTAAGCTTCATAATTTGTAAAGGTATGTTCCTAATTGAGTGTTTTGGAAATATTAACGTTTGGAAATATGTAGTTCACAAACATTAAAGCATAACAGCTTTTTATGTACGTATTAACTACCCGAGACCTAATTAATGGTACTTCCAGATCGGCCGCTTGGAAGCAATCTATACCCATTAATAACTAAATCAATATTAAATTAATCTATTCCCTATAAATCTTACAAATTCGGGAATCGGGAATTCACTGACTGTCTCGCTCGCACTCGTAAAACAAAATGAATTGCGTCGCTTGCGGTAGGAAACCCAGTGCAGGGGAGCTGATTAAATGTAATGGATGCAAAGCTGGATACCATTATACATGTGCCAATATTACTACGGCTGCTTTTATTGAAGGTCAGGTACATTTGAGACGTACTTTCAAATGCGATTCCTGCTCCAATGTTACCCAGCGAATTCGCGTCACAGACGACACTCCGGTACGTGGTGTTTCTGCTCCAACCACTGACCTATTTGAAATGAACCAGTATCCTGAAGGTACTGCTTCACATGAAGAGTCGTTGACATCGGATCAGATAGTAGAAAAAGTGAATAGTATGATTTTAGCGAAACTTAGTCTATTTGAGTCGAATATTATGAAAGAAATAAGAAATACGGTGGGCACACTCGTATTAGAAAATAGTAAATTGAGACAAGAATTAAAGGAAGCTAATATAAAATGTATTTCGTATGAACATAGAATCAGAAGTATGGAACATGAGAGGCAGACCCCGGTACCAACTATGCAAAGTATGCAATCTGCTGCTTCCGATGTCCTACCGTGTGACACCTGCATGAAGACAAATAGCATCGTGCAAGCGCCCGGGTCGGGCGCCGCTGCTGCGGCGCCCGCGGCCGCGCTACCGCCTGAGCCCGCGCTTGCGCTGGAGCCCGCTTCGGCGCAGCCGCCGGCGCCCGAGACACCGCGCTCTGTGCAAACTACCTATGCAGCGATGGCTAGGAAAACAGCGGATCCTAAAGATTACGTTAGTGATTGGGTGGAAGTTAGAAATAAGAGGAGAAATAACTCCACAATAAAAAGAGGGGGTAATAAGTCCATTGGATCTCTGAAGGCAGTCGAGCGTAAAAAGTTTTTACATGTGTGGAGGTTAGAGAAAACTACCACAGAAACAGATTTGAGGGTTGTAGTGTTTGTGATATATAATCTAGTAAATAAACATGACGTTGTCTCGAGCACACGGGTAGTGGGGCGGACAGTAGCACGACAGCCACGAGCGACGACGGATGTCCGCCTGCTTACTGGTGTGGTAACGAGCCAATTAGTACCTATTGTGACACGGAGTGTTACATGTGGCGACGAGATAAAAGGTCAGTGTTAAATTGAAAATATTATTCATATGGGTTATACCAGAAAATAGAAAATTTTTAAAGAAATACAAAAAGGGGGGAGAAAGGAAGGTTTAATAAGTACGCTGATACGTAAGATAAGCAATTTTTGAACTGAAGTTCTTTAATCTATAGGCGTTAGATTTGTGATTGTTAAATAAAACTACCCGAGAACAATAAATAATAAGAACATTACAATTATTGTAATTGTAAAGTTATATTCGTGCCTCGTGAAGCCTAACTATCATATTTTACTAATTAGGAATATATTTTACTAACTAATTTATTAATCTATAATTATCATTACACTTCGTAGGCCTATTTATTAAGAAAAGTACATAAGTGTCCGATGATTCACCGCATTGCAATACGGTAAACAAGTTAAAACCGTGTTACATTGTTGTAAACAAATTAGAATGCTTATACTTTTCATTAAGATCGAGTTTTAAACTGACAAACACCGAGCGGTCACCGGTGGCCGCAATCTATTGTTCTTTAATTGTGTCTATAATGACGGTAATCAATTCAAAAAGTTTACCTTCTTGTTAATTGTTGCTTTGATTGCTGCAATCAATAGTGAATTTAAATTATTTATATTGTAATTTGAATATTAATGTTTTGTATAGTGAAATGACTTCTGGTGATTTATTAAACTTGATAAGTTTATGTTTAGTTATTACAATAAATATATAGATATATTAACACATACTATTTATTAGTCAGTACGGGCCAACATGAAAACGTAAACCGTGCTTGCCTAGGTATGTGAAGTGTGTTTGGTAGTACGAACCTACATTAAATTGTAAATCGTGCGTGGTTGTGTGTTTGGTAGTACGAACCTACATTAAATTGTAAATCGTGCGTGGTTGTGTGTTGGGTAGTACGAACCTACATTAAATTGTAAATCGTGCGTGGTTGTGTGTTTGGTAGTACGAACCTACATTAAATTTTAAATCGTGCGAAATGATAATAGGCAACATGGTAGATGTTAAAATAAATATAGCCTACCAAGTCAACTTTGATTCCAGGTCACCCCAAATCTACCAACTCCAAAAATGACAAACTTATTGCCAGCTCCGGAAAAGTTTGACCTCGAAGGAGACAATGCAACAGTTGCATTAGGATGGGAGCGATGGAAAAGGTCTTTCAATATCTACTTGGAAGCCTCAGAAATTACAGGAGAAGAAAAAAAGAGAGCAACACTGCTCCTTTTAGGAGGGCCAGGACTTCAAGAGATTGTTTACAATCTACCCGGTGCTTATGAAGAAAGCGTTTCAACTGAATCAAAAGTTTTCAAAACAGTTATTGAAAAGCTTGATGAATATTTTCTTCCAAAGCAGAATAAAATTTATGAAAGGCATTTATTTCGACAAATAAAACAGGAGGAAGGAGAAAAATTTGAAAAATTTGTTGTTAGATTAAGAAACCAAGCTGGAAAATGTAAATTCACCAGTCCTGATGAGCATATAATTGATCAGATTGTGGAAAAATGTTCTTCGTCAGAACTAAGAAAAAAAATATTAACTTTAGGAGACACTGTTACATTAGATAAAATCATAATTGAAGCAAATACTCTAGAAATAGTAAGCCATCAGCTAGAAGAGTATGGACATAAAAGTAAGTCAAATGACGTTAACACAATTAGAAGTCAACAAAAAAAACTATAATTCAAGGAAAGATGCCCAGAAATACAAAAAGGAGAATAACGAAAAGGAAGAATCAACAAATAAGTCAGGATCAAGTAAATGTAGTAGATGCGGATACAATACGCATACAGCGTCACACAAAGAGTGTCCTGCAAAAAAGAAAAATTGTCATGCCTGCGGAAAACTCGGGCATTTTGGTACAATGTGTAGGACAAAACCTCAAAAGCGAAAACTTGAGAACAAACAGAATGATGACCCTAAAATAAAAAAGAAACGGAATGAAGTAAACTTAATAAACGTTGATAGCGATGAAGATTCTTCTGATAGAAATCATTATATTTTTAACATGAATGACGACGACGAAGCTACTATTAAATGTGAAATGGGGGGAGTCAAATTGAATTTGCTTATAGATTCTGGGTGTAAATTAAATTTAATCACTGAAAAAACATGGGAAGATTTAAAAAAGAAAAAAGTTTTCTGTATTAATCAAGTGAAAGGATCAAACAAAACCTTATATGCATACGGGAGTAACTCGCCTTTGAATATTAAAGGATCTTTCGAAACTGACATCAAAGTGAACCAGAAATCAGAACGTACTACAGTTTATGTAATTCAAAAAGGATCGAGAGATTTATTGGGAAAAGAAACTGCTCTTCGTTTAGGAGTTCTTAAATTAGGTATTGGTATAAATGATATTGTGGAATCCCCCAAACCTTTTCCAAAATTCAAGGATGTTCTAGTTGAAATTCCAGTCGATGAAAAATGTAATCCTGTATCACAACCGTATCGAAGAATACCAATTCCTATCGAAAAGAAAGTGGAACAGAAAATAAAAGAGCTCCTTGACAGTGATATCATTGAGGAGGTACACGGACCTTCTCGATGGATTTCACCTGTAGTACCCATTTTAAAAGATAATGATGACATCCGACTGTGTGTAGATATGAGACGAGCAAATTCCGCAATCATGAGGGAAAATCATCCATTGCCTTGTATGGATAATTTCTTGCCTAAAATAAAAAAAGCCAATTGCTTTTCTAAACTGGACATAAAAAATGCTTTCCATCAGGTAGAAATTCATCCTAATTCAAGATATCTGACGACATTCATAACTTCTAAGGGTTTGTACAGATATAAACGACTTATGTTCGGCATCACATGCGCGCCGGAATTATTCCAAAAAATACTTGAAAAAATGTTGGCAGGCCTGGCAGGTGTCATTAATTTTATTGATGATATTTTAGTCTATGGAGAAGATGAAAAGCAACATGATGAAAGGTTATCTAAAGTCTTGAGAGTTTTAAAAGAAAATAACGTTTTACTGAACGAAAGCAAGTGTGTATACAAGGTGCAAAAGATCAGCTTCCTGGGACACGAATTGACACCAGATGGAGTTAAACCGCTTAAGAAATATGTAACAAGTATTCTTGAATTTAGAAAGCCTAAGACAGTGGAGGAACTTCAAAGTTTCCTGGGGTTGGTTAACTATATAAATAAATGGTTGCCTAATCTGTCCACTACAGCTGAGCCCTTGAAAAAATTACTGAGGAAAAAGTCTGGGAAGAAGACAAGCTTAGAAGATGTGTGGAAAGATGAGCAGAATCAAGCATTTAGGAAACTAAAGCAAGCTCTGAGTAAAGTACCAACATTAGGATATTATGACGTTAATGATGAAACACAGGTCATTGCTGACGCGAGTCCTGTGGGGTTAGGAAGTGTGCTGATACAAAACGATGGTAGAGGACCGAGAATTATTGCTTATGGTAACCGCACTTTAACTGAACTGGAACGGAAATATAGCCAAACAGAAAAGGAGGCACTGGCACTGGTCTGGGCAGTAGAGCATTTTAAGATTTTTTTGTTTGGCAAAGAATTTGATCTGATTACAGATCATAAGCCTTTAGAATTCTTATTTGGTCAGAAGTCGAAGCCATGTGCGCGCGTTGAACGTTGGGTTTTACGGTTACAGGCATTTCGATACAATATTAAATACAAACCCGGTAAAGTTAACATTGCGGATCCTCTGTCAAGACTTTGTGAATATCAGAATATACCATCTGGAAATGTTGAAGATTACGTACAGCAGATAGTAGAACAGGCTAGACCTTGTGCCATTCCCATGGATGCCCTCTTAGAATGCTCAGGACAAGATGAAGAAATTAAAAATGTTAAAAAAGGAATGTACAATAAAGACTGGGATGATTCGGTAAAGGGATATAAAATCTTTGAAAGTGAGCTTTGTTTTTATGATAAAATATTACTGAGGGGTAACAGAATTGTAATACCAAAAGAATTGCGGAAAAAAGTATTGGATGCTGCACACGAAGGTCACCCAGGGATAGTGGCAATGAAGAGCCGGTTAAGATCTAAGGTGTGGTGGCCGCGAATTGACAGGGACGCTGAATTAAGAGTAAAAGCGTGTAAAGGATGTACTCTTGTCGGATTACCCAGCCACCCTGTACCCATGAAGCGACGTGATCTTCCCATTGCTCCTTGGGTGGATGTTGCAGTAGATCTATTGGGTCCACTGCCAAATAACGACTACCTGCTTGTACTCATTGACTATTACAGCAGGTACAAAGAAATAAAATTTACTAGAATAACCACAAGTTCCCAAATAATTAAGCTGCTAAAAGAAATATTCAGTCGTCTCGGATATCCTTCATCAATCACAGCAGACAATGGTCGGCAATTTGTTAGCGATGAATTTAAATCATATTGTCAACAGTGCAATATAAAACTGTTCAATACTATTCCTTACTGGCCACAGCAAAATGGGGAGGTCGAAAGGCAAAATAGAGACATTTTAAAAAGATTAAAAATCAGCCATATGCAAAAAGAAGATTTAAAGGAGAGTGTGTGGGAGTACTTAATGATGTATAACTCCACCCCACATTCTGTAACAGGAAAGACGCCTACAGAACTTTTCTTCAGTAGACAAAATAGGGACAAAATCCCTTCTTTACTTGACAAGGATACTAATATCGATGATTTAGAAGTGAGAGACAAAGATAAAATAGAGAAACAGAAAGGAAAAGAGTATGGCGATAGAAAACGGCACGCCGAGAATTCAATACTTATGGAAGGAGATAAAGTATATATAAAAGATATGGAAAAAGGAAATAAGCTACCTACTACCTTTAAACCGACACCGCATGTTGTAGAACACTCGGACGGTGGAGATGCTATAGTAAGAAATGAGGAAACGGGCCAAAGACTAAGACGTAATGTTATTCACTTGAAGAAAGTAGAAGGTAAATGGAAAGTTCAAGGAGAAGAGCAAGGCACTACTATACAGGAGGATAATAAAATCATATAATGAACTGATTGTATAACTTTGTAGTATGATTATGTAAACAACATCTTTTGATTAATAAATTTACATTAAGGAAGGGATGTAGTGTTTGTGATATATAATCTAGTAAATAAACATGACGTTGTCTCGAGCACACGGGTAGTGGGGCGGACAGTAGCACGACAGCCACGAGCGACGACGGATGTCCGCCTGCTTACTGGTGTGGTAACGAGCCAATTAGTACCTATTGTGACACGGAGTGTTACAAGGGTGTACATCAAACAAGTACTGGGAGTTGAAAACGATTCTGACCTATCTGTTGAAAAATTGAAACCTAAAACCGAGAGAGATTATTCTTCTTTCAAGATTGGTGTCTCTTTATCTAATTTTGAGAAGCTCTGTGAACCAGAAGTATGGCCAGTAAATGTCGAATACTGCGAGTGGGTTTGGTTTCGACCCTCCACCAAAGCTACCGACAACACAACTCAATAAACACTCCAGGAAACATTTCAACATGAATATTAATATTTTATATCAGAATGTGAGAGGATTGAGGACGAAGACTACACAATTTATATATTTGTTAGAATCAGCAGGTTTTGATTTATTTTCGATCACAGAATCTGGCCTCAATGAAGGTATTCACGACGCAGAATTTGTGCTCCCTGGATATCAAATACTGCGCTGCGACCGAGCTGATGGGCGTAAACAAGGAGGCGTATTCTTAGTGGCCACACCGAGGTATGAGTTAAGGCGAGTGCCAGTGCCAATCGATGTAAATATTGACAATCAAAGTTTTGAACTTATTTGTGCTGCTGTGTACTTAAAAAGTCGTTTTTTATTCGCTTGTTGTACTGTTTATATACCGCCGAATACTGACGATAATGAATATATATTGCTGTTTCGCATATTGGAAAAGTTATGTGTAAAATATAAAAATAATTTACTTATACTAGGAGATTTTAACTTGTACTCGTGTAACAATAACATTTCTAATTATTACGAATATTTTATGGCATTCTGTGAATTCGTTCAGTGTAACGCGGTACCTAATAGTCACGATAGACAGTTAGACTTAGTACTGAGCGCGAGCGGGTCCGTGTCAGTGGGCGCAGCGGACGAGGGTTTGCAGCCGGTGGACGAATATCATCCGCCGCTGGCCGTCAGCGTCGACATAGGCGCGCGCGCTTGGTCTGCGCGGTTGCCGCCGTCGCCGCCGCCAACGCCGCCGCCGTCCCGCGCCCCTCCTGCGCCCTCTGCTCTTTCTGCGCCTCACGCACACAATCGTTCGTCTCCTACACACACTTCTTTACTACACAATAGTCAGCGTGCGCAATCCGCGATAAATCGTGAATTATTATGGAACTTCAATAAAGCTGACTTTATTACAATGTACGACTTATTAGCTAAAATAGACTGGAGTGAGATGTATTGTTTACAGGACCAGGAATTAGTTATAAATTTGTTTTATGAGAAGTTATATGGCGTGTTTGATATGTGTGTTCCTATAAAAAAGAATAGTCTAATGAACAATAATAGGTATAAATACCCGGTATGGTACACAGCTGACCTAATTAAAGACATACAAATTAAATACAAATTGCATAAAAAGTACAAATCTAGTAAATTACCGCATGACTACATGGAGTTTGCAAGATATAGGGCAAGAGTCAAGGCTGAGATCGCACGTGCTCATGACATGTACCGCGACCACGTTCAACAGCATTTGGTTAGAGAGCCGAGAGCGTTTTGGGGGTACGTTAGATCCAGGAGGGGGAATACAAATAATAGGAAATTAATTAAAGATGGGCGGGTGCTAGCGGACTATGAGTGTGCTAATGAATTTGCTCGCTACTTCCAGTCAGTATATAACCCGGAGCCCCCCGTACTGAGCGCGGCGGCGGCGGGCGCGAGCCGTGCGGCGGGCGCGGCGGGAGCGGCGCGGGCTCACCTCGCGCTGCTGCGCCGCGCCGACGTGCGGACCGCGCTCGCGCGCTTGCCCCCTAAGCGTTCCGCTGGACCTGATGGTATTCCGGCCTTTATTTTTAGAGATTGCAGTGCAGTATTGGTGGACCCGTTGTTGCATTTATACAACGTGTTTGTTCGAACAGCAACGTTTCCCGATCGTTGGAAACTCACTCGGGTAGTGCCTGTGCCGAAAGGCAGTGGTGGGACTGAAGCTTGTGACTATAGACCTGTGGCAGTATTGTGCACTCCAGCTAAAGTATTTGAGTCGGCCATTCACAGCAGCCTGTATTCACAGGTGGGTCCTTTGCTGTCGGACGCACAACATGGCTTTCGTCCTGGGCGGGGAACGACGGGGAACTTGCTGGATCTTATGACACACGTTGTACCTGCGGTGGATGCTGGACAGCAGGTGGACGTAGCCTACTTTGATTTTCGGAAAGCCTTCGATACCGTAGATAATGATATCCTTCTGTCAAAGCTGGCCGGTGTAGGCTGCACACCGCACACACTGACATTCTTCTCAAATTATTTGAGAGACCGATGTCAGTACGTTGACTGTGGCGGAAGCCTTTCTGAGCCCTACTTTACTAGGTCAGGAGTAAGCCAGGGAAGTAATTTAGGGCCCCTACTTTTCATTTTAACCATTAATGATTTGCCGAGCGTAGTTAATAATTCCACACCGTTATTATTTGCTGACGACCTAAAATTAATTTTAAAAATAAAACAAACAGAGGATCATTACATTCTACAACAGGATATATCTAAAATTGAGGAATGGAGTATAGAAAACAGATTATTTTTCAACGCTGCCAAATGTTCCGTGTTATCGTTTAGCCGAGCTCATAACCCAAGTCATCACCAATACTGCTTGGCCGGAAGGCCACTGCAGCGGGTCTTTGAGGTCAGGGACTTGGGTGTACGCTTTACTACTGATTTGAATTTTAGGACTCATATTGTGAATATATGCAAAAAAGCTTACCGAAATTTAGGAATGGTATTACGTTTAGGTAACCAATTTACTAACTTTAATGCATTGAAAGCACTGTATGAAGCCCTTGTAAAAAGTCGTTTGGAGTGTAATGCCGTTGTCTGGTCACCGCATGAAGTCAAGTACAAACTGATGATAGAGCGTATACAAAACAAATTTGTTAGATTTTTGTACTTAAAAATGTATGGTGTTTATCCGGGTTACCCGCTTTTGTATCCGACTCTTTTTGTATTGGGCATGGTGGGATATTTTAAAATTGAGGTGAGGAGGGAAGTAGCTGTCGCTACTTACTTATTTAAAGTACTTCGCGGCAAAATATATAACCCGAGGGTTTTGGAGCTGATACAGTTATGTGTACCGGATGCATACGCGGCGCGCCGGCGCAAGCCAGCGCTGCTGGCGATACCACGCGCACGCACCAACCTCCTACAGCGCGCGCCCCTGACGCGGGCGCTGCGGACGCTCAATGTGATGTCGGAATACATTGACTTATTTTATTGTACACTGAACGAATTCAGAAGAGCCTGTTACTGTACCTGTACCCATCTGTGACTTAGCTTAAGGAATATGTTTGTTACCATAGTTATAAATGTTGTAGTACCAAATTGTAAAATTAGACTTTGTAATTTAATTCTATTAATATTGGCATACACTATTGCATTAGGTATTAGTTCCTGTTATAATAGTAGTATGTACTTAGTTTATAAATAAATAAATAAATAAATAAAAAATACAAAATCCCTCTCAACATGAATACACCTTTAAACATTTCATTGACAAGCAAAGTAAAGGATTAACCTAATTCACAACGTTAGTAGCGGATAGAAAATGAAACGTTGTCTTGTCGGTTTCAAACAGCTTTGCAGGAGAGATTAACGATTCCGCAAAGTTGTCAACCAAAAAGATTAATTAATGCTTAATATAAATTTTCATATAGGTAGCACTTTCTATAAGAAAACTCAAAATGCTTACTTCGTTTATGTATAAATTTCTTCTCTGTGTTTATAATGGCCTTAAGACATAGTCCATTGATCTATTCATTTACTTCTAATAGTCCAGCCTTATACAGACAAACGCGTTATTTTAAAGATCATTTTTTAAGGGGGAAAATCATCGAATGGCTGCTCCCGCTTGGGTGAGGCGGGAGGGAGTGTCAGACTCTTACTGACTAAAAACCACCCCGTTCCTTCTCCTGCACGTCGAGTCGGAGCCTCGGTTACCCGTTAGGTTCTCCGCGACTGTGTTTATAGGATAAGTCGCAACCAAACAGATATCATGGTGTGTGTTTATAATTAGTGCCACCTAAGAAAACTTATTTAACAAACGTTTTTCACTGTACTGTTAAACGATGAAAATCAACTAAATGAACGTCACTAGTTTAATCTGTTATCGGCAGCTCTAGTTGTCATGTTGACACTGTCATCTGTCAAATGTGACAGATTAGTCTCCCGCGCAAAGATATTTGAGCAAGCATTACGTTGTTTCCTTTATGAATCTGTTTTAAAATTTAAGCTTTGTGTTATACTTAAAACCTCTTTACGTACATAATTCTATAGAATAATTTGCGATAAGTAGATTACACGTTTGTGTGTACATCGAAATAAAATTGACATGATAATATGTTAGCAGGTCATACACAATGATTACAATGATGTAACTAAATAGTTCGCACTAACATAGTAATTAAACCGTTTTTGCACAACTCATAAAACGTGTCAGGCGTCACACTTTTCACATAATCACAGCTCATATCAAAGCTTTGTATGTTTGCTTCAACTCGTACACACGGCCACACATCAATCTATACAAAACCAGTTTATCCTGGTGTCGCGTCGCATCATCTTTCTGCACATTTAACGTTCAGTTTATACTGGTTATGTAAAGCTCGATGTGTAGCCGGGTCTACAATCACATACTTTCCTATCACAATTACGTGTCTGTCGTTTTTTGTTTTTTGAGTAGATTTGTTATTAGTAATTAGTCTCGTGAACTAAATTAAATCAAACTATATAGAATACATCTATTGTCATCACCATATTGATTCTTTCTGCGGGTCAGATTATATAGAGGAAGCTTGTAGTCCAGAAGTGGACTGTAATAGACATAGAAATTAGTTTGAAATCGAAAAGATTTCTTTAAATCCTTTGACAGAAGAAAATTGTAAAAGAAAAATCCTCCGCTAACGTAGTTCACCGATCACCTACGCGGCGGTTAACATGTTAAATCCAATTTTAGTTAAGAAAAAAGCGCATTAAATTGTAGGAGAGCCATGCTTCGACACGGATGGGCCGGCTCGACCGGAGTG